GTTATTTGTGATACAATTATTAATTGCATTCCTACGATACAATTATGAATACTATAGCAAATAATATGATCTAATTGGCTGCGAATATTGATTTAACAAAGCAATTCTTTTTTAATTCAAAGTTAGATAATTTATTTTCATATGAGGTGTTTATTACAGGTAAAGACTACAGCGCCAATGGTGCGGTGAAACTTTACAGTTAGCTATTGCGATACTCAATAATCGATATAATCGATATAGTTTCTCTCGATTTATAGTAATGTAATAAAACGTAAAAGTGTGAGGTGTAGACAGTAGGAAAGAATATTATCCAGACGTTATCAGATAATCAATATCTTTTACATCTGTTTTTCCATTAACGAATGTATATATGATCTAAAATAGTCAGCATTTAAAAAGATTACATACATTCAATAACTTATTGATTCTTTATACAGTAGTTCATGGAAATATTTGAACAAAGAAAACGTTTTTATGAATATATTTATGTATATTATATGAAACATTTTAAAGTTTCATGCACTATAACTACATATGATTCTCATAGTTATATTAGAATCAGAAGTTATAATGATTTATGTTAATATATAATTCATTAAATGATTACAAATTTTAATCTTATCTAGTTAGTATTACAAAATCATATTAAAATAAAATATAACAGAATTGATAATATGTTGTAATAAATTGATACAATAAAATTAAATTATCGTGTGTGTGTGTGTGTATGATATATGATTGGTTAGAAATATTTTGCTTTTCCACAAATTAGACAAATAATATTCGTTCAAGCCCCCATCTCTCCACAATGTGTACCTGTTGCGCGGGAAGTTAGTCTAGTAATGAAAATCATAATGTTAAGGTGTTTTATTATGTGTAGCATTTATTAACAGCGTAGTTCAATACTTTCATTGCTATTGATTCACGTTTACAATCTTGTTATTGCCAATTCTGTTTAATTAATGTTTTTATTCTATAATAGTATATCAAATATTAGTATAATTTATAACTACATTATCTATTTTCTTTTAATTATCTTTTTGGTTGTTATATTTATTGGAAGCTCGTATTATGAGTTTTCAAAATGGCATTTTGACTATTGTTTCATTTTTATATAATTTGGTTCTTTTATACTTATATTTGAAATAATTAATAATTAATAGTAAGTTTCGGATAGTTTTTCATGGCGATACTACAACATTTGATTTATTCTAATGAAGATAGGTGTATTTATACGTTTGTCTTTTTTTTTTATTGGGTAGTTAGTAATTTACATTCTCTTTGGAAAAGGATGCTATCACGGATAGGTTTGTATAGATTTTTGCGTAATGAGCAGTTTCGTTTAACAGAAAAAGCGCGCCATATTTGATTGCTATGAAGTATATTTGAAATTTTAATAACGGATATTCGGAATTATAATTTTTATAAATCGGAATATAATATGGAATATTTACAGATGTTTAAGATTAGAAAATATATTATAATGCACAATAATAATCCTAAACTTTTTAAACAATTAATATTATATTCTCAAGAATAAATCATAATATTTCAAGTTTTATTAAAGGTCTTTTACAACTTTCTCCTGTTTTCTCGGAAAGATATAATGATGTATCAAAGCTAAACACGTAAGAATCTTTAGATATTATATTCCAATTCTATTTTTCATATTTTATTTTAATTATTATTTATTAAAAAATAAAGTTTAGTAAGATTTATGTTAGAGTAAAAATTCTTATAATAATTAGAGTTTGTTAGAATTTTAATCTTTTTCAATATTTTAAATTTGAATAATTTATACTTTGTTCTTGCTGTTCTCTAAAGAGGATCTAATAGTGTTGCAAATGTAAATGTAAGTAACTTTGTATTTTATAATTTTTATTCTCTTTCTATAGCTATTAATTAAAAAATAGATTCTAATTCAAACTTTGATAAAATTAATCTTTTTATTACACCAAACACTATTTTAGCATAA